GGGCGTAGTTCTTCATCATGCTCGTCTTCGCTGGGTACCACGGTGTTGTTGTTAGGCCAATACTGCTGCGGCTGATGCAAAAATGTCGGACCACATGACCAACGGGCTGTTGCTCGGAAATCAAGGCGATTGTTCGCGCGTGTAGCTTCGTCGGCGACATTGAGTTCAGTTGGTAACCACTTCCAGTTTGATGAGTTGGTAGCAGCCAATATTTCCGCTATCCTGTGCTGAACGAACGGTTTGTAGCGACGATGTTCGCTCCTAATCCACCTGACCACTGTCTTGGAATCGCTCCACAAAGTACACTGGTTCACGTCTAGAGAATGCTCCTCTCGTATACTGTTCATTAGGCGAGTCCCGAGCCCGGCCGCTTGGAGTTCAAGTCGAGGCACAGTTAATGACTTTATTGGAGCGCACTTTGACTTCGCGGAAATGAACGCCACTTCGATCCCGTCACTGGAACTTTTAGACCTCCAATAGGCGACGGCGGCGAAGGCTACCTCACTTGCGTCGACAAACTCGTGAAGCTGTAGCGTTTTCGGCATACCCATGCGAGAATAGAACCGCGGAATAGTATACTCTACGACAGTCACCAGCTAATTTCGCCACTTATCCCATGCTTCGTTGATGCTAGTCGGCAACGGCTCATCCCAACGAATGTCGTGCCTCCACACCTCGCGCATAATCAATTTAGCTCCGATTACAAAGTTACTTAAAAACCTTAAAGGGTCAAAAATGGACATCACGATGCTGAGGAGCTCTCTCTTGGTAGGATGCCTCGACCCATATACAACCGCTGCGTCCACGTTATGAAATTTTAGCTTGAACCCAAAGCAATCGGTTGAGGGCTGCCAAAATAGTCCGAGGACTATTTCCACCAACAAGCCCTCCTTCTTCGAGTTAGATCGCTTGCCCTCGTCACCATCCAGCTCTTTTATTACCTTCTGCGAGTTTCACGAAAAATTTCTAAGCTCGAATCCAGCGTTCAAGTGTATATCGCGCATTGCCTGCGAAACGGCGATAGTTTCTTGTACTGTACCGAAGCTATCAAACATGTTGTCCACATAGTGATGGTCTAATATGGATTTTACTGCACGGTTTACGACGGCGTTTCCATTCCGGTGTTCTAACGCGTTGACGGTTTTGACGTAGTGTGCAGAACATGGCGAACATGCAGCACCAAATGTCATTACGCACATCTCGAAGACTTCTGGCTTCCTCGTAGCATCACCTCCTCGCCACAGAAATCGTTGAGCGCATCTATCTTGCCGCCGCACCAATATTTGGTGGAACATTTCTCTCACGTCCGCACACACCGCAACTGCACCTTCGCGGAAGTGGAAGAGAATGGACGGCAACGACTTGTAGTCCTGTGGTCCCTTTAGTAGATGCGTATTGAGTGAAGTACCCCCCACCTCAGCAGCTGCGTCAAAAACCAATCGCAACTTGCCCTTCTTATTAGGGTTTGCAACGGCGAAGTGTGGCAAGTACCAGGTTTTCGACGACGACAAGGCAGCATCTGCTGGTGACAGCTTACGCGCATAACCCTTAGCTATGTAGGACTCTATGATGCGTTTATATTCATCAGCGAACGCACCAACGCGACTCATTTTCTTTTCAATACCTCTAAGCCTCCGCAGCGCCATGGGATAGCTATCAGGGAGCTCAACCTTGTCATGCTTCCAAAAAAGACCCGTCTGAAATCTCCCATTGACGAGGAATGTAGTCTTCTCGAGAATTCTCTTCGCACGAGCATCAGCCTCACTTTCGATGGCGGGTGTTGGCCTTATCCCAAAGCTTTCGGTGTCAAAGTAATCAGCCATTAAGTTATGCAATGACTGATCACTCTGACTGTTCACATGCAAGCATGTCGGCAACGACCGTTGTTTGTTTGTAGTTGGGCCATACACCACCCAACCTAACTCAGTGCTCGTTGCAAACGGACCATTCATATTCATTTTCAAAGTGGACGAGGGTAAACCAAGATGGCAATGATCCAGCCCGATCAACAACTTAGGGCGGACCTGTGAGTATGTTTGTATTGGCAACTTACTTACGTGAGTGTCATCACAGCTCAACTCCGCTTTACTTAGGCTTTGCGATGGCAGCTGCAAATTCGATACTCCATAAACTCTTCGCAATTTATATCGCTTCTGCATGCCAGCTCCGCTGACCAACAAGTCTACTACCACGGCTGGTTCCTGCGCCGCGCGCCCTGCGAACCATTACAAATTCAGTTGATGTTCACTGCCATGCACACCCAATTCCTGCAAAAGAGTATTGTCGATCATTGTGATCGACGAACCATCGTCCATTAGGGCATATGTTTCGAAGCGCTTATGTTTGTTGTACAACACGACTGGCAAAATTCTAAACAATAGCTTGCTGTCAGAGGAACCGCGACTGCAACTGAGAACTGCAGCATCCGCATCACTTGGTGGTTGTAAATACAATGAACCTTGAGTATGCGAGGAGCGTTCGGCTATTGGCATGCTCATATTACGATGGTGAATCTGTGCGGCCACATTGTTGGCCCTACATCCGCTTTCGTGAAGTAATTTATGGTGCATTCTTTTGCACCCTTCTGTGGAACAAGGCTTTTGCCGCTGGCAATTACGAGTTCCATGTCCGGCGTTAAGGCATGAGAAACACAGGCGGCGTTTCTTTATTTCGGTCCACCTGTTCGGCACAGTGAGATCGATGAACGTTCTGCACTCGGCTAGCTAGTGTGGACTCTGGCATATTGGGCATCTCACATGACGGTGCGACTCGGCGGTGTGTGCAGTACGACACGGCGTCTGGAGTCTCGTACTGACTCGACATCATAGACTGCAGTGGATTCTGTGAACGCAGTGTAGAATATCGGCCAGTCTTCTGCTTTGCCACAGAAATCCGGCAAGGCCTGCATTTGCCTAGGCAAGTAAGACGACTGTGTTGCTACAGGACCCACGTTGGCGTGAGCGGACGCCATTCAGTTCACAGAAATGACATAACTGTTAGGTGTGGCCGAATACGCATATGTATTGTGTGGCAATGGCATGCCATTAGATGTGACGTACTGAACGTTTTGAGCAGGCGCCGATGCTACGAGATGCAACGGCGATTGGCGGCTATCTGCAAATGACGTTACTGGAAGCGGATTGCCGATAGACACCGTCGGTAATTGTAGTTCCGGCGACGGCGCTGCTTGACAATGCGTTGTGGGAAATTGGGGATTTGAAGCCCCGGTCGTGTGCGCATTATCAGCTTCAGTTTGGAATTCGTGATCCCTCAGCTATGCTTCGGCTGCTTTCAGGGTATTTTCTAGCATGGTGATACGCTTTTGCATAGCCTGCATCATGACCACTTGACGAGCAGAGGATGTTGGTGGCGCAGGCGTTGGAGAGTTACGGCTAATTGCTCCGGCGGTAGTGGAGGCGGCTTTTGAGGCGCTGGCTGCGCCTTCGGCGGTAATGGCGGATTGCGTGGCACTGGCTGTGCTTGTAGCTTTGGTGGCGATTCCATCGCCGGTGATTTTCGTTCTGGCACTTTTCGACGTGGCCGGATTCGAACCTGAATCCTTACTTTCCATTTCGTTATTTAATCGGGGGCTTCGACGAGGTGATTTGCCCATGTAACTTTCAGCGATGTAATATTGCTGCAACTAAGCAGCGAGTTGGCAATGGCAATTAACTTCCAAATAAAATTTGCAGTTCCAAGTATATGGCAGACACACTGCGAAATACAGATGTCGTCGATTCCGCTGGCGAATTTAACGCGAATCCAAATAAAACGCTTTAATTGTGTCTGCTTAACTCGACTTCAGTTCAGATTCGGTTTATTTCTAAAGGTTAAGAAGTTATTTTAGCATATGCAAATGTACAAATAGGTAATACTTACCGCAGTGTGTCCATCGCTTTTCTCCAATGATCGACGATTGAACTAATGTTCTTAACTTGTGAGCGAATGTACCAAATTTGGCAAACTATGTACATACATATGTATATACAAAGGAGAAATAGCGGTTGGCACATTGCGGTTAGCGAACAAAGGCAACAAGCATTTACATTTTCACTAAACGAATGTACATATGTATATGTGTAACATAGAATATACTCCGTTTAACGGAGGAACGAACAAAAATGATAAATACTGCAAAACGGTTTGAAGTGCATAAATAGGAGTTAGGACGTTTGCGTACACACAAATGTAAGTACATACGAAGATGTGGCCAAAGAGAACGTAAATATGCAGATCATACCGTATGCAGGGGTTACTTTGACAACACTTAGGGCCGGTTGTTCAATGTCTGATTAGCACAAATCGGAGGTAGAAGCTCCGGTTAGAAACAACGACTGCTTTATCGATCACATGCTATATGCATGATGTCGAAATCGTCGATAATGATGTTTAACGGGCAAGTAATGATAACCAGACATTGAACAACCGGCCCTTAAACATTAAATAGATACATCGAACATGCTAAAGGCAAGCGGGCCGCAACAAAACGTAAAGCCCAGCTAGACGAAAATGCATTTTTGATGTCTTTCATTCGGTCCATATTCACAGACGGATAGGTTAGAAAAATAATTGCAAAAGGTATGTATAACGTTGAACAAAATTCTGTAAATTTGCTATAAGATTTTATTTGTTTTGTAGACAAAAACGTTAGATGTGTTGGTGAAGGAAAGTTATCCGTTGCATTGGACTTACTGCCATACCTAAACAAAAGCGTCAGCGTTGTCTGGCTGTCAAAAAATTCTCATGCCCTTACAATTTGTATGAAGCATACCGAAACAACGCGGCGTCAACGCTGAGCGGTTGGAAAATCCGATGTCGACAGGGCGTTAGGTATTGAAGTTGGCTGCAGAAAAGGGCGAAACTGTCATTTTCGTGTTACACACAAACAAACCTATGCTTATTGTTGGTGTTATTTCTGCATTTGACGTAGCGTTGACGCTTTTTTTTAGGTATGGCACTTCGGCGCTAACGCTAAGCGTCAGAAACCGCTCCGCCCAACGCTTTTGTTTAGGTATGGCAGTTAATGCGCCAAATTCACGAGCTCACTGCCGTTAAAAAAGTGTGTGTGCTGGCTTTCGATGAGATGAAGCCTACCGACGACTTCGTCAGGAAGCCCGCAAATTATGTTCAAGTGGTTATGGCGCCCCGATTATTTAAATCCTGGAAGCAACCAGTATTTTACGATTTTGATTGTAAAATAACCGTCGAACATACGATTATTTCGGCTGTGCAAAACGCTGGCTTCCCTGTTCTTGCGATGGTCTGGGATATGGGCCCATCGCCCCAAAAGCTTTGGAGAGACTTCGGTATCACTCCAGTTATACATTTAATTCACTAATACATAGCTAATTAACAATTAATTAGAACACCCATGGTTCACCAACCCTATTGACCCGGAGGCGAAGGTTTTCGCAATTGCGGATGTTTCGGATCTATTGAAGCTCATCCGAAATAATTTTATTGATACTGGATTCGTTTGGAAAGACGGTACATTAACCACGCGCGCAATCGTTGATGTTATGGGGTTCACATCTGTATCCGACCTATCCATAACATTCAAGTTAACAGAAGAGCACTTAGCTGTAAAAGGGATAGGTATGTTAATAATAACTATTATGTAATCTCGTAGCTAATGTAATTGACGCAAAACTTTCAGGCAAACAAAATATAAAATTGGCGACACAGTTGATTTCTAACACGACTGCAAACAAGCGATTAAGACAGCTGAACTAATTCAGTTGGTGAATGATTGGTACGGCGTGCTCATTTCCTCCGTTAAAATGTTAAACTATCCTGGAAAGGTAATATTTCATTAAGTTAACAAATTAAAAATAAATGTATTGTCTCCATATAATTTACTTGAAGGTCCCATTTGGACGGAAGATGCAGCAGCAGCTCCAGATTTTGGTGCGGATGAATAATTTCATGTCAGATGTTGTCATCCCTCGTAAAAATTGCATCAACAGTTTCAAAGAAGAGTTTTGGTAACGAATGACGCACTGTTACAGTTGTACGAGTATGTGGTAGTAAAGTACAACTTCAACTGAGTTGTCACACGGCGTCTAAATCAAGATTTGCTGCAGCACTTCTTCGGGAACATACGAAGCAATGGAGGATTAAACGATCACCCTAAGCCGAAGGAGTTTAGGTACAGGCTCCGAAAATATATTTTAGGTAAGTTTGCAAAAAAAATATCTTTAAAATGTTTATTTAATTATGTATTATCCACTCCTGAATTATTTTTCAGCAAGAAATGCCAAAAATCTGAAAAAAAACAGTCAACGTCGAGCAGGATTCTGTTGAATGGCTGAATACATCAAACCCGCAGGTGTTGTGTGGAAACAGGGTGTTCGGAAATAGCTACAGATGAACATGAAGTAGAAGAACCAGAGTCAGGGGAAGCAGAATCGGAAGTGGTTGACGCTATGAGTGTCGCTCACGCCAAGGGCGATGGCGATGTGCTGGAAGGAGATGCAGATGTGCTGCATGGCGATGCGCTAGAATATATGTACGTGTACGTGCCTTGGAACCAAACGAAATGGTTTTCTGTCAACATTGTTTCACCACCTACTGGCGAGGTAGCAACACCGGTCGGTTAGTGACAGCAAAGATGAGAAATTCATCAGTACACCGACATCATCACCCCTCAAAGAATCGCGCCTGAAAGTGTAAACCGGGCAATAATTTCATTAAATTAAAATCCAAGGCAACGCTTGTTGGTACTTGGGATTTCAAACAGGTGAGACTATAGCTTAAATGTTTGATGAAATTAATGATATGTATGTATGCAAATTTCTATTTTGGTTGCAGATGCGTTATTTCGTATCACAATTGGAGTTCTTCACTGAGCAAGTTCAGTTCAGAACTCTACCATTTCTGGTCACTACCAGGCCTGCGCAAGAACTACCGCCACAACTAAAATAGAAGCAACCACAACCACCAGAACAACGCATCAAGCGAAATCTTCTACTCAGGACCACAAAAGACTCGTGCGCATTTGTGCAATGTGTTTTGAGAAACTCTGAGGCAACAGAGTAATTTTTACGTGAAGATATCGATAGCAGCGCACTGCTTCGCTACAGCAATCAGAATTTCCTGAAATTCTTAAGGCCCGTCCACATACAACTTTGGCGTTGCGTCGGCGCTGGCGTCGCTTTGACAGCAGCGCGAGTAACGCCCGTGCTTGCTACAATGAACGCTTAGCAGAGAATACTTTGGTCACTAAATTAACATACTAGCGGCAGAAAAACCAAAATTTTACATCAATAATTGCATTAACAAATATATTTCTTGCCCGCATTTGATTAAAAATGAAAATTGAATCACATAATTTTGATTATTTGGAACAGCTGACGAATGACGCGCGCGAAAAGTTGAGAGTTGGTAATCTTTCTGCGTTGTGTTGGCGTTGGCGTTGCCCAACTTTGGTTATGTGGAGACTTTCATATAAATGCATGTATTCATAGTCAGCTGTCGAAGCGACGCCAACGCCAACGCAACGCCAAAGTTGTATGTAAACGGGCCTTTACGACTAAAGTTAGGCCCTGCGGCCTTGTATTATTCTTGCCTTCTTCAACTGCGCACACTCGCCGTTCTTAAGTTCGATGGGCAACTCTCCAAGCCGTAATCACAATGGGTCCCATTTTAAAAATATATTGAAATGTTTAAATATACATAACATGCATGCACGTATAGATCTAGATCTTATTGCATTATACACAGTAAAATAAGAAAATTACTCATTAATTCTACTTTACACATTTGTGGCAAAACTTGTCTTTATTAGTTAAAATAAGTTACTTTTTAATAATTTTGCCATACTAATGAACTAGTAAATAACTGTATCGACATGCTACTGGAGCTTTGAGGGTTTGCGTTTACTAGATGTACATCACTTATCTGTAAGTACAAATTTACATTGTGTAGATGTTTTATTGTAAAACAAATAAATAAAACATAAATATTACTTTATACTGGTGAAAATGTTTCAAATGTTATCTGTGAACAAGGCAGCTACTGCCTTTTCAACGTGTTTAAGAAAAGCAATACTAATTAGTAATTTTCATGTGGGTGTCTGTGTATATCAGTAGGTATAAATAAGTATCTATGTAAGCATACACATGAATAGTATGCAAACCTTCATACAAGTACATATGTATAAAACTGTAATGTATATTAAACAAATGACACAGCAGGCCCCGTTCCGAAATCCGCTCTTGATAGTTTTTTAAAATCTAGTTGACAGACCGCATCTATTAGTCTTAGGAATTGCTCTTTATTGGCGCTGTAACCGCCTAAGTGATTTTGGCCGAGTCCAAAACAGCACGCCAGTCATTTCTCTTCTATGCCAACTTTCGCCAATAGGAAAAGCCAATTGAAGCCAAGTCCTTCTCCACCTGGTCTTTCCAACGCAGAGGAGACCCTCCTCTTCCTCTGTTGCCAGCATCGCGGCCCCCATTAAATACTTTCAGAGCAGGAGCATTTCTTTCCATTCGAACGACATGGCCAAGCCAGCAGAGCCGCTGAATTTTAATTCGCTGCACTATGTCTATATCGCTGTAAAGCTCATACAGCTCATCGTTAAATCGCCTGCGGTATTCGCCATCGCCAACGCGTAAAGGTCCGTAAATCTTTCGCAGAATCTTTCTCTCGAAAACTCCAAGAGCCGCAAAGGCATGATGAGTGACTTATATAGAGTGAACTTTGTACGACGATACAGGACTTTACTTCTCAATTGCCTACTCAGTCCAAAGTAGCACTTGTTGGCAAGAGTACTTCAACGTTGGATTTCAAGGCTGTCATTCTTATTGGTGTTAATGCTGGTTCCCAAAAAAAACCGAGTCATCAACTTTTTCAAACTTGTAACTGTCAACAGTGACGTGTGTGCCAAGTCGCCTATGCTCTGACTGTTTGTGTGATGACAGGAGATACTTCGTTTTGTCCTCTTTTACCACCAGACCCATTCGATTTGCTTCTTTATCTAATCCCGAAAGGCAGGACAGACGTAGCCCTTGTTTTTACCGATAATATCGATGTCGTCGGCAGACGCCAGTAATTGTACGCTCTTGTTAAGTATTGTGCTTGAGCGGTTAAATTCTGCAGTTCTTATTATCTTCTCCAACATCAGATTAAAGATATTAGACGAAAGGGAGGAAACCTCGTTTGGTGTCAAACAAATTGGTTTTGACAAAGCTGATGGAATTGCTCAAAGTCATTTTACATAGCCGTATTAAATTTCGCGGGGATACCAAATTCAGACATCGCGGTATAAAGACAACTTCTCTTCGTGCTGTCGAAAGCGGCTTTGAAATCGACAAATAGATGGTGTGTCGCTCCTATTCTCGCGGGCCTTTTCCAAGATTTGGCGTATTGTGAATACCTGGGCCCTTACTCTGTAGTTCGAGTCGAAAGGTTGTTCTATTCGAAAGCCAAATTCGAATCGAAGCCACATTCGTACTCCATAGTTCTTCGAATCAACTTTCGAAGATATTCGAAAAAAGAGAGCAACACTGTTCGCGAAATGTCAAACGCAAAGCAAAATAAAGAAAGAAACTAAAATCAAAACAAGATGAAATTGCTAACATTTCGATTGTGAAGTTTGTGCACTTAAGAACTCAGTAATTGTTGTGTTAAATATATTTAATATTAGTGAAAGTCCTTGATAAAAAAAATTACCAAATGGATCCAGTGGCGATATGGTTGGAAGCAGATGAAGGCCAAGTGGCGGAACGAGTGCAATTGAGAGCGCTTAGGGATAAGGCCAACATATTCACTCTCAATGATAAATGGTAAAAGGATTGCTTTATTTGTGACTATTTATATTTTATGTATTTATAATTATCTCTTTACAGTTTTACGCAAAATTTCCGCCTAAACAAGCAAGCGTTTCGGTACGTGCTAAATGCCATTACGCCGGAGTTAAGTACTCCTCGAAAATCCACAGCAATTCCGCCCATTATTAAGCTGGCCGCCGCAACGAAATTATTGGGGCAAGGAGGTTACCAACACCAAATTGGCCAAGACCAACACGTAGGCCTTTCTCAGCAGTCAATGTCACGCTGCCTTATTGAAGTGTGCAAAGCCATTGAGAAAACGCTTTGCCAACTACACATTAATTTTGCAAGTACGGACGCAGAGGAAACAGAGGCGAAATTATACTTCTATGAAAAGTGTGGCATTCCGGGCGTGTTGTTTGCAATAGATGGCACACATATACAAATGATAAGACCAACAAGGAATGAGCATTTGTACTACAATAGAAAACTGAAGCACAGTATGAATGCAATGGTTGTAAGTATTGCATTATCATGAAGGTTTTCAACAACAATTTTTCAAATTAAAATTCTTAGATGTGTGACCACAAGATGAGAATTAGAGCTGTTGACGCGCGATACGGTGGTGCATGCCATGATTCCCATGTATGGAACCTGTCCAGTGAGAGAAGGGCTTTAAAAGCTCGTTTTGATAATGGCGAGAGAGGGATATGGAGTCTTGGTTAGCATCAATTAATACTTTAATAACGATAATATATTAATAATTGCATTCAAATTATTTAAGGCGACTCAGGATATCCATTGGAACCATGGATGTTAACTCCCTATCGTAATGCCGCCGAAAATTCAGCGGAAGGCCGGTTTAATCACTGCCATGCCAAAGGACGGTCAATCATCGAACGAGTATTTGGAATATTGAAAGGAAGGTTTCGATGTCTTTTGGCAGCACGCGAGCTGCATTATACTCCGCAAAAGGTTTCAGCTATAATGAACGTTTGCTGCGCTTTGCACAACATTTGTCTGCAATTTAAAGCTGAGCTGCAACCTTCAGAAGTTTTTCCCACAGAAGATGTACATTTATTAGAAACTGTGTATATGGTGGAAGCGGACAGTAGTACAGCAAATATTTCTAGGAACTTAAGAGATGAAATAAGAAACAGTTTAATTGCATAGGTGTAGCAAAATATTTTATTAATTCAAGTGTGTGTATACATAGTAGCTCAAAATCAAATCATAAAGTGATATTTTAACAATATTCGCAATGTTTTTAATTCTGAAACTTTTTTGTAAATATTTTAAAATAGTATAGCTGATTATCTAAAAAAATCGTATAAATCTAAGTTGTAAACTTGTGCCAAAATTAGGAAATATCAACAAATTTTCATACAAATTGCCAACTTTTTTACTAGAATTTCTTGACAAAAATTTGGCCTGTTAAACTTAAATATAATGTGGAAGTTCTAAGTCCATAAAAAATTCCGTTGATTTTTGATAACTTTCTTTGCTGACGGTCTTGGACATTTTTTTCCATACAAAGTATATTTTTTTATATGGAAGAAAATGCACAACACCGCAAAGAAAGTTATCAAAAATCAGCGGAATTTTTTATGGACTTCGAACTTCCACATTATATTTAAGTTTAACAGGCCAAATTTTTTCAAGTAATTTTAGTAAAAAAAGTTGGCTATTTGTATGAAAATTTGTTGATATTTTCCTAATTTTGACACAAGTTTACAACTTAGATTTCTATGATTTCTGTTAGATAATCAGCATTACTTTTTTAAAAAATGTATTAAAAAAGTTTCAGAATTAAAAACATTGCGAATATTGTAAAAATATCAACAATAAATAAATAAAATAAAAGTATTTTTTCAGTCTTCATTTTATAAAATTACATATGTAAAACATTTCTAGGAACCTAAGACACAAAATATAGTTTAGTTTCATTGGTATATAAAAAAAAATGTAAAAATATTCATTAGCTTTTTCATTCACAGGTAACAATTCAACAAAAAATTACATACAACTAATTCATTGATTGCTTGGATTTGAAATTATCATAAAAATAAAAAATATTCATTATTTTTGATTAATACAACTAGCAACTTCTGTACCTTAATCTGCTATTTAAAAAATAAATAACTTAAAAAACAATTCATCAGTCTTCAAAGGAACAAAAAACTTATAAAATATGAATTCGTAAAAATAACTACACTTAAATCAACTATTTACAAAGTTTAGCTTTTAGCTTCAGTGCTTTTAATTTCAGTTATCTTTTATTTTTTTCATTTTTTTTGAAAAATTCAAATTTTTCTCGTTTTAATTGAA